AGAGGAAAAACGCTAATATTAGAGCTTTCAAGCTCATGCCTATGGAGGAGTTATTCATTTTCTGATTCAATCGGGTCAGCCTATTCTGAGCATCAGTTTGATCATCTATATTAAAAGATGAAAGATAGAGAAGTACGGCGTCCGGGTACCAGTTAAATATTTTGAGAAAATTGGCGGCCCAAGTTAAATAGTAGAGTACAATTAGGGCATGTGGTGAAACTTTTACAGACATATCTTCCCAATACTGCAAATATTTTCGAGGAAATCAATTTGTATTTGTAGCCTCTTTAATACTAACTGGAAAATTTTAGTAGTAACTAGACTTCATATTGAATTCTCAAACAATCACACGTTAATCAGGATCATCGATTCTATTCTTAGAGAAGAAATCCTTAATAACTTTTAGGGAAAGAAATCGGTTATACTCCCTCCGATCCATAATAAGTGACCAATTTATTTTTTTATTTTGGTCCAAAATAAGTGTCCATTTATATAATTAAGAAAGAATTCAATCTGTTTTTACAAAATTACCCTTATATATATATATATATATAAGGGTAATTTTGTAAAAACAGATTGAATTCTTTCTTAATTATATAAATGGACACTTATTTTGGACCAAAATAAAAAAATAAATTGGTCACTTATTATGGATCGGAGGGAGTATAACCGATTTCTTTCCCTAAAAGTTATTAAGGATTTCTTCTCTAAGAATAGAATCGATGATCCTGATTAACGTGTGATTGTTTGAGAATTCAATATGAAGTCTAGTTACTACTAAAATTTTCCAGTTAGTATTAAAGAGGCTACAAATACAAATTGATTTCCTCGAAAATATTTGCAGTATTGGGAAGATATGTCTGTAAAAGTTTCACCACATGCCCTAATTGTACTCTACTATTTAACTTGGGCCGCCAATTTTCTCAAAATATTTAACTGGTACCCGGACGCCGTACTTCTCTATCTTTCATCTTTTAATATAGATGATCAAACTGATGCTCAGAATAGGCTGACCCGATTGAATCAGAAAATGAATAACTCCTCCATAGGCATGAGCTTGAAAGCTCTAATATTAGCGTTTTTCCTCTGTTGGTCTGGGTATGAGCTCTCTGTCTAATACAGATGCATCAAGACAATGAGGTGTCAAATCTAACTAATAAAAAACGATGATGATTATGAGAGTGTTTGGCTAAGCTTATAAGGTGGTCAAACTTACTTATAAATACTTTTTGACTTATCTACGCGTCTGGTAAAATTAAAAATGCTTATAAGTCAAAAATAAGCCAAAAGCCATAAGTTGGTCTCCCCCAACTTATCAAATTTCAGTTTATAAGCACTTTAGGTTTGACCAAAATATTTACTATTATATCTTTAAAATAATTCTTTTTAAACAAAACTCTTCGTATACCCAGTTCTTCAATTAATTTTAGCACTTTTATCCAAACACATAATTGCTTATTTTTTTAATCAGCTTCAGCACTTAAAAATGCTTTTTAGCACCTAATGCTTATCAGCTACTTAAATCAGCTAAGCCAAACGGACTATATATNTAAACTATTACTTGTTTTTTAAAAAAATAGACTTTGAACACCCTTGCATAGCCCACTGGAAAAGGATGTTAAACATTTGAACACCATTATTGAATTTTCTGGCTTCATGAACGTTATTTTTTTTCAACCCAACTTCATAAATCAAAGAAAAAAGATAAAGAAACAAAAGAAGAAGTGAGATTGATAAAGAAACTGGAAAAATATGTGACTTTTGTTTGTAGAAAAGTTGGTATTTTGCTGATTTGCAGAAGACTTAGAGCGCCAGAGAGTTTTGTGTGGAGAGGTATTTTTAATTTAGGGATTTTGAAAGTATAACTGAAAGATTAAGAAGTAGTTATGTAGTAATAAAGAGAGGAAAAGAAAAAAAGAACGTGTGTGCTAAAGAGAATGGGAAACTTTAAACTGCGGGCCCAGGAGCATGGGTATGTAGCCAATTTATTAATTAAAAAGTAAAATAATGGATAATTTTAAAAAGGGTATTGCGGGGATTCGAACCACCTACCCGGTGGATGGAAGGTGCACTTCTCTACCAGTGCATTACAATGTTCACTTGAGTATGGGTTCACCCATACAAATTCAAGTATTTTGTGCTGAAATTTACTGGTGCTATACAAGGTTTAGGGAAAGGAGGATGGGTTCACGTGAACCACCCCCTCCCATGTAAATCCGCCCCTGGTAAGGGCCAAGAGATTTCTCCTTACTTTGCTTTGCAGTGCTCACAACTTCCTCATTCAAGCAAGGTACTGCAATGTTTTCTTTTTTCTGAAGTGCAGGTGAACATGTGTTGCTGTAAGCGGTATCGATATTTATTAAAAAATGGCGAATAAATAACATTATTTGTCATATTTCTAATCAAATAGTAGCCTTAGAGGTACGAATCTCCGAGCTCAAGAGCAAATTCAAGAATTTAACCAACATGCCAAGCAACAATTTGTATCAATTGATGTTTGATGTTTTAACTTCAATACCACACAAGAGAGGGGGGATGATTTGTGTGGTGTCCAATTTTTCGCGTGCACTGATTATGGAAGGATCTGATTCTTCTAAGTGTTCCTTAACCTACTGTTGTTGAAATAGTAAATGCGGAAAGTAAAGAACACAAGTATTTTTATATGGAAAACATCTGGCTCAAAAGGTAAAAAAACCACGACCTACTTCTCAGTAGAATTTTTCCAAATTCTCCACGAAATCACTGAGCCAAAAACTGCATTTACAAAATACTTTTGTAAACTTAGGATTCCCGTTGTGGCAAACAACCTCTAACTGTTTCGACAACTTCAAATTAACTCTAACTTGAATACTCTGAGTACCTATTACAATTGCCTCTAGATAAAGCTGAAAGGTACAATATGAAAACACCTACTACAATTGAACTAGGATAAAAGACAGACACTTGGAACTGGTTCTTCTATCTGATTCATGTAGCTTCAGGTTTGCAAAATGCCTTGCTATTTTGCTCTCAATTCATGTTTAACTTCTACTTTTGTGCATCCTGTAAAATGAGAATATCCTGCAATTTATAGAGTTAGTAGATGAAGAAATAACTAGAGTTTTAATGCTACTCTTCCTTTATAGAAGAGTTCTAGTTGATCTCATCTTCTAACTCCTCCCTTATCTTGGATAGTGTTCTCTTTGAGTAAGGAATCCTTCTCCTTATCACTTATGCAACCTTTTCGATCAGGAGATATTAATTATACCAATTTAAACTTTATCTCCTTCACATGCATCCCACATGCTCGAGTCTGCCCGCCTCTATGTACACAAGGGATGGACATGGTTCATGCCTGAGCTTCCTTTGTCAATCTTCAAAACAAACCTTCACTTGGGCAAATAAATTCCTCTTTTTGATGATGACAAACTCTATACTTTTCATAATCTTAGGCCATATTTCAACTCAGTTCAACATCAACACAATGTTAGAACATTTTACCTTTTTATCACTTATCATTAAGGATCAGGTTCGTTAGGTTATAAACATCACTGTTCAAAGCACAACCTTTTTTCCCCATTTGGCATTATCGAAAAGTTGCATAAGAAATGTGAGATAACCAGATTTTTAAAACTTACTCATGGCCACGGGGGCTACATCAAATGCAATCATGGATTAATCATCATAGATCAAGCTAAGAATTTTAACCATCAAAGAAATATAAATAAACAGTTAGAGCAAAAACCAGTGAATTTCATTGATGATTGATACGATTCTACCACAAAGCATAAGAAGAAATAAAAACTGAAAACATGAACAAAAACAACAAAAACTCCCGAACTAGGTCACTAGTTGATCTACACTAGGCTAGGAGGCTTATGGCTGGGAAGAACTAGGTGCTTGGTTTTTGGCTTGGAGGAGTTTCAGCATATCGTGAAGAATACCATCATTCTTCTCATTTTCTCTTGCTAGCTCAGTTCTGAGAGCATCTCTCTCAGTATCCACCTCTGCCAACCTCTTCTGCAGCC